CCACCCAGGCGCCCCGCCTCTGTTTTTTAACTTAGCGTATGCTACTTTGTGTTATGGAAGTCCTTGAAGATGGGTACATACCTTTTGTTTTTCTCAGGGCCTGTCTTAACACCTTGTGTAAGCTACTTACTCAAAGATGTATGGATCATATTGTGTATCAAAAGTTCTCATTTACCTTTTGGGCTCTATGTACTTTGTTGGTCACCTTTCCTGTTTAACTCCTGATGTATTAAATGTCTAAAGTGATTCAGATTATACTCAAGGTTAAAGTGGCCCTTTTTGAAGCTTGCTGAAGGTTTAAATATTTAATTTTGGTTAAGCTATATTAACTGAGCACCGATCTTTCAATCATTAATGCATATTTGAGTCTCTACTTACATACTGTTTTCTGTGAGAGATGTAGATATGAATCCTTGTTCCGAAGCCTCTAAAATCTAGTCAGTAAGTAAGATTGCTTTACAGTTCAATTTACAGTTCAAAGGATACAATTCCTGTACAATTCAGACAAGGTCAAAGTGATAGAAATTTGGACAGAGTGCTTTGGGACTTGAGGAAAGAGCAGTTACTAAATACAGAGCATATGTTAACCTCTATAGGGGATAAACCCATTGGTGTCCCTGGCAAGGAAAACCTTGCATATGTACATGAGCATTTAGATTTCCGTCTTTTGTTTTTATACACAGAACCTGGTCCACAGAAGATTCAGAAATATTTGTTGAATGAATACATCACACCCTGTTACAGTCTATATTAAATTAAAAATGAGGCACAAGGACAGTAATGAAGGGAAGTGGAGGAGAGGAGATTTCTGTGGGTTGGTGTAGGCAGGGAGAAGTGAGAGAGTCTAAGTTGAGCTCCTGCTGCTAGCTGGAGGCAGGACATAATCGAGGCCCTAAAGAATGGAAGGGCATTCATTGGTCCGTAACAGAGATGGGAATTGGTCAGGATTGGGGAGGTCATTGGGAGGATAGATTGAACAAAGGTGCAGAGCCAGGAATATGCATGATAGGGAACAGTAATGTAGGATCGTAGCACAGAATTTGTGAGGATTATAGATACTATGAAAAAGATTATGGACTCTATGTTTTGGTTAAGGGGAAGTCAGCTGAGGGTTTTCATCAGTAGAGTTCCATGATAGAGCAGTTAGCGACGTCACAAATGCTCAGTAAAGCTAAGAAGTGGTTCCAACAAAGTGTTTCTTCTTTCTTTTTTTAAAAATTTTTTTATGTTTATTTTTGAGAGAGAGACAGAGCACAAGCCAGGGAGGGGCACAGAGAGAGGGAGACACACAATCCGAAGCAGCCTCCAGGCTCTGAGCTGTCGTCACCGAGCCCGGTGCACGGCTCAAACTCAAGAACCGTGAGATCATGACCTGAGCTGAAGTCAGACGCTCAACCAACTGAGCCACCCAGGCACCCCAGACTGTTTCTTCTTTATATTCATCCTCTTCTCTCTTCCTTTTTCCATTTTTTACCCCACCTCAGTCTTCCCATCTTTCTTTGTTACCTTGGTCTAGTTCTAGTATAAACACGGTAATAGAAACAGAATTCTAAATCTATTTTAGGTGTAGTCTCCTATCTAAATAAATTTGGTTTCCTGACCAATGTCTTCCAAGGAAAATTTAGGCATAATAAGAAATGTGACAAAATCATAATGCTGGAGCCATACCATGTGCCTAATTTCCATACCCAGTCAAATAAGATAAATAAACCTTCCTCATGCAGTCTGGAGAGGTTTATTCCTAGTGACATAGCAGATTCAATCTCAGGCGGGACTGTCAAGTTAAACTACTGGCAATTTCAACCTCTAGTCCCTATTTGTAGCTCAGTCTGTAACTAAACAAATGTAACTACACAAATGTAATTAAACAAAACTAAGGTACTGTGTCCCTTAGTTTCTCCCTTGGTCACCTCCTAAAGTATGCTGTGATAAATAACAGGATATTATGTGAAAACCAGTTTGCTAGAAGAATGTTATCAGCTTATTTATTTTTGGTGTCTAAGGAATTTAAAAACTGGTCAGCTCCTGAAAAAGATGCACATTGGTGATTCCTACCAAGCTTCAGTCTGTCACAAAGCCTATTCTGAAATGGTAAGTAATGATCTGTTGGGACCACTTTGTGTCTGCTTTGTGTGTGGCTGTTGGTCTCACTGAGTAAGAGCAGTAACTTAGTAAGAAGTAATTAACAGACCCTCTCTGTTGTGTATCTTTTTCAAAATTGGATAACAGTGTTTGTCCTTTTTTTATTTTTTTAATTTTTGCTAACGTTTATTCATTTTTGAGAGGAAGAGAGAGCCAGAGCATGAGTGGAGGAGGGGCAGAGAGAGAAGGAGACACGGAATCTGAAGCAGGCTCCAGGCTCTGAGCTGTCAGCACAGAGCCCGATGTGGGGCTGGAACCCATAAACCATGAGATCATGGCCTGAAGCAAAGTCAGATGCTTAACCAACTGAGCCACCCAGGCACCCTAGTTCTTTCTTGAAATCTATGGATGAAAATAAGTATTGGTATAATGTGACGGCTTGCTAAATTTTCTGGCTGTATGTCCTAAGAGCAAATGTTTATTTCTAGCTGTGAGTTTGTACTAAGAAATACCATGCCTGTTACCAGACTTGGCTCTCAACTGCATTGCCATAAATGATTTATGATGTGAACACATACCCTTAGAGAGGATGGTTAAATGGTCCTAGATGTGTTTTTCCCTTAGGCTTTAGTGTTTTCACATAGAAGCGAAAACAGCTTCTCAGCCATTGTGTTAATAGACTTGATGTACAGTCTAGTTTGGACATCTGAACAGGCTGCAGGCAGCTGTCCAGGAGTCAGAGGTAACCCTCAAGTACCCACCATCGAGCCACAACAGAGGCGGTAGCGGGTGACTTCACACTTGTATGGAGACTGACTTTCACAGCCTCAGTGGCAACCCAGTGCGCATTAATACCACACGCTTGGAATACACAGGTTGTAACTTTCCCTGGCCTGGCTGGGTCTGTGGAATTGAACTCAGAAGATGTGTGATCTTATATAATCTGTCACATTATCTTGAGGCTACCTTTTTACATCCTTAAAATAACAGGGTTGAATTCATCTCTGAAATTATTACATTTACCTACTAGGCATTGAAATAACTTTGTATCTTTGTTATTACAACACTAATACCTACTTGATACTAAAGCATTTAACACAGAAATGTTTCAGATAGTAGATAAAACTCCATGAAGCCAACCTCTGGAAATAACTTAATAATTTAGTGCAGGAATCGGCAAAGTTTTTGTGTTAGTAAGACCAGATGGTAAATACCTTCAGGTCGGCAGGCCACATGGTCTCTCTTGTAAGTGCTCTGCTCTACTGCTGAAGCAGAGAATCTGCCATAGATAAAATGAAACCGCATGGGCGTGGCCATGTTCCAGGTAAAACTTTTTGTATGTTAAAACCTTCCAGAACTTGAATTTCCTATTATTTTTCATATATCATAAAATATTTTTCTTCTTTTTTTCAACCATTTCAAAATGCAGAAATCATTCTTAGCTTGTGGGTCATACAGAGATAAGCAGTGAGCCAGATGTGGCCTGTGGGCCATAATTGCCAACCCCTAGTTAAGTATATGACATCGAACTTTTTCTTTCTTTCTTTTTTTATTTAAAAAATTTTTAAATGTTTATTTTTTATAATTTTTTTTTCAACGTTTATTTATTTTTGGGACAGAGAGAGACAGAGCATGAACGGGGGAGGGGCAGAGAGAGGGAGACACAGAATCGGAAACAGGCTCCAGGCTCCGAGCCATCAGCCCAGAGCCTGACGCGGGGCTCGAACTCACGGACCGCGAGATCGTGACCTGGCTGAAGTCGGACGCTCAACCGACTGCGCCACCCAGGCGCCCCTAAATGTTTATTTTTTAAGAGAGAGACAGAGTGTGAGTAGGGGAGGGGCAAAGAGAGGGGAAGACACAGAATCCAAAGCTCCAGGCTCCAGGCTCAGAGCTGTCAGCACAGAGCTGACACAGGGCTCAAACTCACGAACCGAACCACGAGATCATAATCTGAGCCAAAGTCGGGTGCTTAACTGACTGAGCCACACAGGCGCCCCTAGCCTTTTCTTGACTAGATTTTCTAATTATAAAAGTAATTCATTCTCATTATAAAAATTCAGTCATTCTAGAAGATGTATAAAGTAGAAATGAATGTTACTAATCCTAAGATGGTTCATAATTAATTTTCTCCATTTTACCTCCAAAGAGAATTACTTTCAATATATAACATATACAACCGTGTGTGTATGTCTGTGTGATATATATGTCTCCACACACAATCATGTTATTATTAGATCATATAATTTTAAAACCGGGAGAGGTCTGTAACACATTTTCCCATGGAAACAACCATAGGTGATGGTGTCTTTTTTGTTTGTTTGTTACTCTTGTTCTATAAGTGTAAATCGGCAATGCAGACTGGCCTAGAAATTGAGTCACCACTTACAAGATTATTTTTATGGGAAAATGTGTTCTGAATTTTCAAAAACCAACTTGCCAATGAATATCTGTAGTTTGAGGACTCCGTTTGCGTGTCTCTATGCCCTCTTTCCCTGTGACGACGTTTCTCCCAAATGGATGGTATGAGATGTTAGTAGTGTCTAAGATGGAGGAAATTGGTGAATCAGCTACGTTCCCACCTACAAGACTCACTGAGCCCTGACCTAGAGAAACCAGAAGGCGAGCTCAGTGATCATCTCAACAGTTTGCCTGAAAAGAAAAATGAGCTAGTGATTTAGTGATTAAATCCTGGATACTTGAGACTTTTGATCATTCTTGTAATTCTTTGGTATTGTCTCTGCCTACCCTTTCTTTTTCCCAGCATACTCTTGCTGATTTATTTGGTTATTCATTTCTCTTTTAAATTAGGGGCTCCTGTTTGTTGTCCTGAGCCATCCTTGTGCCAAAGAGAGTGAGCCGTTGGGAAGCCCCGTGTTTCAGCTGATTGTGATTAACCCTAAGACAACCCTGAGTGTGGGTGTGATGCTCTACTGTCTTCCCCAAGGGCAGGCTGGAAGGCAAGTGTGTGCTGCTGTTCACTGAGTATGACATTTTGGAAGGCACGTGTGCAAATACAAAAAACCAGATGTTCTTGTGTCACTTAGATGAATGGTAAACATGAAATACTGCAGACCATAGTAAGAATGTCAAGTAGGAAGAAGTGTAAAGTTTAGTAGATCTCGGTCAAATCCCAGGTTCCCTACATTCTTATCCCCACCATTATGGGGTTGGATAGGTTATTTTATGTGTATTCAAACCCTGTTTTTCCCATAACAAAAACATTTCAAATGCAAATTAAGTAATTAATATTCTCTACAAAAATGTCCTTTCCATAAAACCTAAATTAAGAAAGTTTTAAATATTACTTTGGGAAGGCCTCTTTTACTTTGAAATCTGACGAGTCTCCACCGTGCAAGCAATTGATATTTATCTACTGACTGATGAGAAGATCTATTTATCAGTGATACCGTTATTGGTATCCCAGGTGTTCTGTAAGCTCTCTAGAGCTCTAAAGTAGTGTTGGTGTTGTTAGGCCACCCCAGCCACACCCGGAAGGGTCATTCCTAGAGATTACTTTTATTATTGTTTGAAATGCACAGCAGAGACAGAAAACAGATTTAGTAAATCAAGATCACAAAGTCTAGCTTTAACAGTTTACAAGGATAAGGAACCTTGGTAGGTGCAATGTATGTTTCTGTGTTTTTTGGGGATCTTGTGCCAAGCTTGCTGCATCAGTGTTCTAAAAGATGGTCTCTCTCCCTGTGCCCTTAGCCAGAAGTGGCATTTCTGCAAACGTTCTTAGCTCACCAAGAACCTCAGGACTGTCATCTGCCATACGTGCTTACGTATAGAACTTGTTTCTTTGGATTTGGGGAGAGAACCGTAGTCACTGGCCTAGAAATTTAGGATAAAGAGAACTATTCAATCAAGCATTTCCTTCATCACTCTTCAAACTCATTTATTTAGCAAACCTTGATACCTATCTGGTGCCAGTTCCGTAGAGGGCACTACTGTTTCTAATCTCATGGAAATAGGAGGCAACTAGAGACTAATGTTCAGCACACAAAATGCCATGAGGCTTGTAGTGTTTGGGAGCACACAGGATGGAGGAGCACCTTAACTGGCAGTGGAGGGTTAGGGAGAGACTGTCAAGGAAGACTTTGTGGAGTTTCAGATGTGTCTGGAGTCAGTCACACAAAGTTGGGTGGGAGCCTGGGATAAAAAAAATACCATTTGGTTCACTCAGAACATTCACTGAAGGTTGACTCTTCGAGATGCTGGTGATGTGGCAGTGAGGAATAACTAATTTATATTAAGCCCTTAACGTGTATTAAGTACTTTGCTGTACTCATATCATATTCCTATTTTACTGATGAAGTTAAATAATTTGCCCAGGGTCACAGAGCTCTTACTTTGTTAGAATTCAGATCCAGGCAACTGACTGCAGTGCCCCCGTCTCTAAAAGACAGACAGATTCCTGTTTTACAATGTGTACATCTTGGTGGGAGAGCTAGCCACCAAGTATGGAAACAGGATCATCTCATGAGTGAAAAGTGCGATGAAAATAAAACCTATAACATGACAGGGAGCAGAGTACACGTGTGCCCTACACTAGACGGGAGATGAGGGATGATCTTTCTAGGGAGGCGACGTGCCTGCATGATGGCAGAATCCCAGCCCTGCTAAGTGAGCACATGAGAGAGGGAACAGCAGGAGCCAAGACACTGAGGTGGTCGGAGCATGGCCTGCTTGAAGAGTGGGAGGCAGGCTGCTGAGAGCTGGGGTGCGGGTGGTACGGGACGCATCAGACACAGCCGGGACCCGGACACACGGTTGTGTCCGGAACTACAGCACACCTGCCAGCTGCCCTGGGATTTCAAAGATGGGCATCACATTTCCAGGTATTTCTGTTCTTGTTGCTTCGGGGAGCGTGACTTTGGCTTAACTCGAAAAATTCTTTTGATATATGATTTGAATTGTTTCTTCTCTGCTTGCTATTAGGTTCCTGGAAGGTGATGTGAAAGATCATTTTGCAGCGGCAGTATTGACTTCTGGAACAATCGCCATCTGGGACTTACTTCTGGGTCATTGTACTGCCCTCCTCCCACCTGTCTCTGACCAACATTGGTCTTTCGTTAAATGGTCAGGTACACATTCTCATTTGTTGGCCGGACAAAAAGATGGAAATATATTTGTGTACCGCAACTAATTAGATGAAAACACAGTGCTCTGGATTTTTTGACCACTTAGTACTTTTTAGAGTTGTAACTGTAAAGAATATCTGGATGACATTTAAAATAACTACTTGTATTCCATTAAGGCACATTTTTTTAATTCTGAATGTAAGTGGCACTACTGATCTTGAATGTTCATTTATACTTACTTTGGGAGAAGGGATCTTAGATTGATTTTTGTAATTCTTCACATCCGCACATTTGCTTTTAAAGGTGTACATAAAGCTTCAGTATTAATAAATATTTATTTTGATACCTTCTGCTTGGCCTGTTACTTTTTCCCTATCCTTTTAAGATTGTTTTCTGAACAATTAGTTGTTATGTAACTAGAATATTTAGTCAGTGATGCTTGTATAACAAGTAAATTTCAGGGGTGCCTGGGTGGCTCAGTCATTTAAGCATCCGACTCATGATTTCGGCTCAGATGCTGGGCTTAAACTTACAAACTGTGAGATCGTGACCTGAGCCTAAATCAAGAGTTGGACATTTAACTGACTGAGCTACCCAGACGCCCCCAGAGTCACTTTGAATCAACACAGTGGTATGTCCTGAGCCCATCATCTTTACCTTTGCCTGTGTGACTTTGAGAGACAGATGTTTACAGTCCCAATCTGGTGGTATCATTGGAAATTTTGTCCCATATGATAAGTATTTATTTGCTCAACATTCTTACTGAGAGTATATATTCATGATCCATATAACCTATTTGTACTACTTTTTTTTTTAATGTTTATTTTTGAGAGAGACAGAATGTGAGCAGAGAGAGGGGCAGAGAGAGAGGGAGACACAGAATCCAAAGCAGGCTCCAGGCTCTGAGCTCTCAGTACAGAGAGGCCAACGTGGGGCTCGAACTCATGAACCACAAGATCATGATCTGAGCCAAAGTCAGACACTTAACCGACTGAGCCACCCACGTGCCCCAATTACTTCTCTTTTAAAAATACCTTTTTATGGTGTTTACTCGAGTGGTTTTTGGCAACTTCATAATTTCCCCTTGATACACTTGCATAAAAGATTTAACTTTTTTACACTCATTCTGTTCCCACTATCTCTGGCATGAATGAGACACTTTTATTTGCTAGCACATAAAGATAATAAAGGGCTTTTCACAAAGATTTAATTTACTCAGGAATCCTGAGAAACATACTGTCTCTAAGATTTAAGACTCAAGAAAACAGTAGAGCTAGGCAGTAATTCCAGTTCGGTAATGACTGAACAAACACTGAGCACATGATGTAGTAGGCATGAAGAGTATTGCCCCTTGATGTATTGCCTTGATGTAGCAGGCATGAAGAGTGAGGCCCCTGCCCTTCAGAGGTACACAGGCTAATGAGGGGGACTGTGACACTAAGCAATACATTAAATACCGTGTCTTAAATTCAGAGCGTATGTTCAGAGTGCTCAGAGGGTGGGCAGTTAGCACAACACGGGGGAGTTCCAGAAATCTCCATGGAAGATGACAAAATGTGCTAATCTCATACTTTCTTAGCCAGTAAATTGAAATGACTCCAAACTCTGAAAATTGCCTGGATGAACAGTCCAATAATGCTTTCAGTCTTCTGTCTAGTTTTTTTTTTTTAAGTTTTTATTTTTATTTATTTTGACAGAGATAGTGGGGGAGGGGCAGAGAGAGGGAAAGAGAGAATCTCAAACAGGCTCCTTGAATGTCAGCACAGAGCCCCACGTAGGGCTCAAACCCACAAACCGTGAGATCATGACCTGAGCCGAAACCAAGAGTTGGACACTCAACTGACTGAGCCACCCGGGCACCCCTCTGTTTCTTTTCTTGTGTTAAATCCAAATATAGTAACATGTAGTGCCTTTAATTTAAAATAGACTGCATAGGGGCTTAGTGGGAAGAACATGCAACTCTTGACCTCTGGGTCCTGAGTTCCAGCCCCATGGTGGGTGTAAAGATTACTAAATAAATAAACTTCAGAAAATAAGTAAATAAAAATAAAATAGACTGTGGAGTACCATCCCACGGTTGTGAAATTTGTATGTTCATTAAGATATTGAGTATCTGTTATATGCTAGTTGTTATGTGCTAGTTGCTACAGCAGTGAGCAAACCAGGCAGTCTGTTCTCGTGGAGTTTACGTTCTAGTGGGAAGACAGAAAATAAAAATAAACATCTCCCCCCACCAACAGACAAAAAAAAGCTGGGAAGCAGTGAGATAAGTACAATGAAAAACAATAAAGGGGAGGGATAGCAAGGGAGTATAGGAGGTATGTTATCTTATTTTTACAGATATATTTGTTTGTTTAGAGAGCAAGCAGGGGAGGGGCACAGAGAGATAAAGAGAGGAACTTAATTAGGCTCCAGTCTCAGCGTGGAGCCTGACACAGTGCTCAAACCCACTACCCTGGGATCATGACCTGAGCCGAAATCAGGAGTCTGTTGCTCAACCAACTGAGCCACCCAGGCGCTCCCTGCAGATCTGTTATTTTAGATAGGGTGGTCCCTAAAGGCCTTTCTTAGGAGCTGATACCTGAGTTGAGGCTTTCCAGTCTTAGGGAAGGAAAACAGAGCCTCAGGAATCATCCTGCTGCTCGTGATGCCAACCAGACTGTCCGTGGCAGTGCAGGCAGTGGTCACCAGGCTTCTCCAGCATCCTGATTCCATCGCCATCATTGCACTGCTTATTAGGCAGCCTTCTTTTTTTTTAATTTTTTTTTCAACGTTTTTTATTTATTTTTGGGACAGAGAGAGACAGAGCATGAACGGGGGAGGGGCAGAGAGAGAGGGAGACACAGAATCGGAAACAGGCTCCAGGCTCTGAGCCATCAGCCCAGAGCCTGACGCGGGGCTCGAACTCACGGACCGCGAGATCGTGACCTGGCTGAAGTCGGACGCTTAACCGATTGCGCCACCCAGGCGCCCCTAGGCAGCCTTCTATTTCCGCAGAAAACTGGACCAGAAAATCTCATTGGAGTCTGAGGAGCAGGGCCCATTAGATCTGCTTAAGCCACCAGTGACAGACCAGACTGATTGCTCCTTTCTGGTGACATTCCAGGACAGACCTGTGATGTGACCGTGCAGCATTAACAGAAGGGGGGGCACTCAGGAAGAGCCTGATAACCTGCTAAGCCTACAATTGGAACCCTCTCTTCCCACGACCTGTCTGTATTTCTGTTACATTTCGTCCTTTTGGTCAAAAATAATAAATCACCTCTTATTTAAATGATACACTTTAGGGGCGCCTGGGTGGTTCAGTCAGTTGGGCGTCCGACTTCAGCTCAGGTCATGATCTCGCGGTCCGTGAGTTCGAGCCCCACGTCGGGCTCTGGGCTGACAGCTCAGAGCCTGGAGCCTGTTTCAGATTCTGTGTCTCCCTCTCTCTCTGCCCCTCCCCTGTTCATGCTCTGTCTCTCTCTGTCTCAAAAATAAATAAACGTTAAAAATAATAATAATAATAAATAAATAAATAAATAAATAAATGATACACTTTAAGAGACCTACTTTTTCCTTCAGCAAACACCTAGAGGGAAAATGTCAGTCTCCATGGTTTGTAGGGTGAAAGGCTGAATATTAAGATTGGGATCAAATCCTCAGGAGCTGGGAAGATTTCAGAGAGGGCACTGGTGCTTTCCAGTAGCACCCCCATCAAAGGATGTATAAACATCAACTGTCAGCTTCCTCCATACATCACTCCCCAACCCACCAGTTGTCCCTCCTTCCTTCAAGCCCATTTACACTATTGTCTCATCCTCTCCTGTTCCCAGGGACCTGTACTGACTGCCACTTCTCTCTTCTGCCCTATGTCTTCAACTTCCTTAAGCCCATAAACATGCCAAAGTTTCTCCTAGTCTAAAAACAAGGCCAGAGGCCTCCTCCACTGACCTCTTATATACCCCTAATATTACACTCCTTTCTTCCTAATCAAACTTTTTGAAAAAATAATCTACACTTTCAGCCTTTATTTATTTATTTAAAAAAAGTTTTAATGTTTATTTTATTTTTGGGAGACAGAGACAGAGACAGAGTGTGAGCGGGGGAGGGGCAGAGAGAGAGGGAGACAAAGAATCTGAAGCAGGCTCCAGACTCCGAGCTGTCAGCACAAAGCCCCATGCGGGGCTCGAACTCAACGAGCCGAGCTGTGAGATCATGACCTGAGCCAAAGTCGGACACCTAACCGACTGAGCCAACTGGGTGCCCCTATTTTATTTATTTTGAGAGAGAGTGCACATGAGCAGTATGCACCCTCACGAACCGTGAGATCATGACTTGAACCCAAATCAAGAGTCGGATGCTTAACCAACTGAGCCACCCAAGTGCCCCCAAAACCCTACGTTTTCAGAATGGATGTATTCCAGAGGTTTTCATCCCCACCTGCATCCAGCCCTAGTCTCTTCTCTGAGCTTCCCAGTCCTATGTCCAACTGACTGTTACCAGATGATCTAGAAGCACTAGAATGAGCTATCTTCCCCCTTGTGTGTTCTGTTTCAACTGCTGACACCATTACCCGCTAAGCCAAAAATCTGAGATTCCTTCCTCTCCTATCTAATCATGCATTCACTTAGCCCTGCTGCTTTTTTTCCCCTCCTAAATCTCTTTCCAGTTCAGGTCTTTCATGCCCATGGCCCCTGCCACAGGTCAGGCCCTTCTGGCCACCTTCACACCCCCACCCCTGTCCTCCATAAATCCACAGATTCTGTTGCTAGAGTGGGACCTTATCACTCCCCTGGTCAAACCCTTCAATTGAACAATAAAGTTCAGGTTTGCCAACATGCATCACAAGCTCCCTGGACACCTTTCTAGCTTCCTGACTCCATTCCCCACATAATCAATACTCTTGCCATAACGAGCTGTTTGTAGTTCATGCCAAACTGTCTTTTCTGCCTGGAATAGCCTTTGCCTCCGCTTTGATCTACTTCCCCTGCTAATTTGTCATCTTCCACGGAGCATTTCTGGAACTCCCCCGTGTTGTGCTAACTGCCCACCCTCTGAGCACTCTGAACATACGCTCTAAATTTAAGACACGGTATTTAATGTATTGCTTAATGTCACAGTCCCCCCTCATTAGCCTGTGTACCTCTGAAGGGCAGGGGCCTCACAGCAATACTCTTCATGCCTACTACATCAAGTATGTGCTCAGTGTTCATTCATTACCGAACTGGAATTACTGCCTAGCTCTACTGTATATTTGAATGTAACAAAAGTAAAAAAGAAACAGAGGGGCGCCCGGGTGGCTCAGTCAGTTGAGTGTCCAACTCTTGGTTTCGGCTCAGGTCATGATCTCACGGTTCATGGGTTTGAGCCCTACGTGGGGCTCTGTGCTGACATTCAAGGAGCCTGTTTGAGATTCTCTCTTTCCCTCTCTCTGCCCCTCCCCCACTATCTCTGTCAAAATAAATAAAAACAAAAACTTTAAAGAAAACTAGACCGAAGACTGAAAGCATTATTGGACTGTTCATCCAGGCAATTTTCCGAGTTTGGAGTCATTTCAGTTTACTGGCTAAGAAAGTATGAGATTAGCAGTTTAAATTTCTCCCACTTACTCCATTTTTGTGAACTATTGTTAAGTTTTAAAAGTTGTATATTGTTTTCCTCTAGTTCCCACATTTATTAGCCAACATGCATTTAAATTGATTCTGATTTTTTCACATTTATATTGTTTATAATTATTTTGATTATATTAAATGATTTTGATTAATATTAAGTAATTTTGATACCTGTGGAATAACTGCAGCATCAAACTCCTTAAACGGGGCGCTGGGTGGCTCAGTCAGTTAAGCATCGGACTCTTGATTTCTGCTCCGGTGGTGATCTCACAGTTGGTGGGTTCGAGCCCCCACCCCGCCTGCAGCTCCGCGCTGACAGCCTGACAGCGGACAGCCTGCTCAGTTTTCTCTTTCCCTCTCTCTCTCTGCCCCGTCCCTACTTGCGCTCTCTCTCTCTCTCTCAAAATAAATAAAATAAACATTAAAAAAAAAACGCTTTTAAACAAATGTATTTCACAACTTTCGGAGAATAAGTTAAACTAAGTTCCTTTCCTGTGTCACATATTAGTGTTTAGGGAAAGACACTAAGCACGAGGTTCTAGTTGTGGCGCTAGCGGCTGGTCGCCTCTTGCCCTGGACGGCTGGACCGCACTCCAGGAGGGCACAGTGCCACCAGGAGCCGCCAGGGGACGCTACGGCCAGTGGCGACAGGCTGCGCCGCTCTGTGCGTCCCCTGCGCGGAGCAGAGAGGAACCTGGGCCGGCGGGCGCGGCGCAGTGCATCCTGGGTCAGCGTAGCCATGGCGGCTCGTGTCCTTTCCGCTTGTGTCCGCCGACTGCCTGCGGCCTTCGCGCCGCTGCCCCGGGTCCCCACGCTGGCCGCAGTCCGGCCGCTCAGCAACACCCTCTGCCCCGCGGGGGCCCGGACGAGGCCTGGGGTTCCGCATCCTGCCTCGGTGCTCGCGCAGGTGACTCGCGGTGACTTTGCTGCGGGCTTGGCAGGGGTCAGGGATCGGGGTGGGGGGGGAGGGGTCAGACAGCGGGGCACGCCAGCCGCGGCGGGGGTGGCCAGGGGACATCTGGCTCAATGCCTGTCCCACTACCTCATGGTGCTTGGTTGACCCCTGCTGGGAGCTCGGGTGTTCTAGTGCTTAAGAGCCGGAGCACAGACCCTCCAAACACCCCTGGGTGTAAATGCTGGCTCCCACTTTCCGAAACTTTGAGCAAGTCCATTACCTTCCTAATATCAGTCTGAACGGCTGATAAAGTTGGGGTACTAGTCTCTATGGAGTTGCGACGAGATTTTGAGAGCATGTAGGTAGAGCACCTAGTTGCGGTGCTTGGTAAGCTCTCAAAATACTGGTTTCCGTTAGTTGTAGTTATAATGACAAATACCGTGATAGCTTTCTAGGGGAAAACTAATGACAAGGTGCAAAAAGGAAGCCACACTGGCCTATAACCTTCTCCAGAGCATTTCTCATTCGGGATTTCTCCCTGTAATGCCTTTTGCCTGTTCACTTGCTTCCTAAAGGAAAGATAGGAAAAAAAGCAGTATTTAGCCTTTCTGTCGGATGAAACCTTTGTGAGGCAGAAATTGTTTTTAGGGCAGTCATTTTCCACCCTCAACCTTTGCTGCACATTCAGATCACCTGAGCAGCTTAAAAGAAGGGGGAAGAAATCCCTTACCCCTCCTCCCCACCACTGTGCATTTTGGTTTACTTATCAGAGATGAGGCCCTGGCATGGATTTTCATTTATGCTCCCCAGGTGACTAAAGGGTTGGGCCAAGATCAAGAACTACTGCCCTAAGGTAGAATAGACTCTCAGGGTCAAGTTGAGAGCCCCCCCCAAACCAGTGGACTCAATAGTGGTTTCAATATTTCAGTATTGACAACATTAGAATAGAACAATAAGGATGCCCAGGCCAAGTCAATCATTATTTCTAGAGTTGGGGCCTGGGTGTCTGTTTTTAAAAGTCACCAAGTGATTCTTTTCTGTGGCTAGGGTTGAGATGACCGTGTGATGGATTAATTCATAGGGCATTGGCCCCATTGCCTGAATCAAAAGGTTGAAACTGTCACCTTGAAGTTAAGAGGTAAAGGGCAGTATGTAGAGTTGTTGAGTGTTTTCTTCCTGAGAGGGATTTCCATTGTAGGTTAAAATGCAAAATGATTGCCCCTATTCATAGAGCACTGATTCTCAGACTTGATTGTTACAGATCACTTGGGCTAAAATACAGTGTCTGGGAAAGGGCCCAAGAGTCTTCATTTACAGTAGGCTCCCAGAAGATCCTGGTGCCACTGGTCCTTGGACCACAGCTTGAATGGAAGGGTGCTCAGAGATGTTCCACTACCTCTGCTTGGTTCATGTATACAGCAGAAAAGCTATTTTATTTATATTTACAAAGTGATTTTGACCAAGTGCTCCCATTTAACCACCTTACATCCTTTGCTGATTGAAGAGAGAGTGAGTAAACACTTGTTCTTTCAAAGGAACAGGACAGCTATGGGCCAGACCTTATTCTAGCTGTTGAAGGTAGAGAGATACAAAGGAAAGACACTAGTTAATAACTCATTGGACATTCTGTGGCCTCGTGTTAAACTTGCCAGCTCATTCCCTGCTGGTGTTCTCTAGATTGTTCTACACTGTTTGTTGTGGTTTGCCCTTTTTCCCTGTCTCTCTGCTCCTACCCTGTTGGGACACTTTCTAATCCTTAAATGTTGGTAAGTTCCAAAGATCTCTTACCACACTCTCTTCCTGGTCTGTCTCTTCACTCTCTTGGTTTGTTACTGCCTGTCTCCCAGTTACCCCAAACTTCCACCTCCAGCCCTCGCTCATTTCATCTGGACTATTGCTTATTCCACCCATTCTTTTCCATTAGATTTTTTTCTCCTCAAATCTATCCACTATGCTGACTCCAGGGGAACTAGTTATTCATTTATATTCTGACTCATTCCTGCCTCCTAAAAGGAGCTATGAAGCAGGTCTCCTGGATGTAAAAATATGACAGTATAAAATCGAAAGTAAGAAAAACAACAGTGGTGGCCTAAAATGGAACTTGGATGTCTTATTCTTGACCCAGGCAGGCCCCAAATCTGAACTGTGTCAAAGGCAAAGCACAAAGAAGACTTCTAAAGTGTTCTATGGGGCACGGTACTGAGATGAAGGCAGAATGCTTGTGCAGGGAAAGCCCAGCTGTTTTGTCTTACTCCGGTCTCTGCAGCCCTGGGCCCTACCTCTTCAGCCTCAGAGCCTGTCTGTGAACCACCTTACCCTTCAGTCTCCTTACCACACACACCGGCTACACTTTGAGGCCTCAGTTCTTTTTCTTGGCCTGACCTTCCCTCCTTGAATGACCCTGTCCTTTCAGGGCTAACTCCAGGTTTGGTATCTGTTTCTTCCTTGCCTGTCAAGGACTGAATGACGATTTTGTTCCTGAAGCAGCCTACAAATACATCTGTCATGGCTCTTGCTACATTTTTATTACAACTGAAATAATCTCTTTGGATTGGTCTTTCCCATTACGCCATAAAAGCTCCTCTGAGGGTAGCGGTCATATTTTATTTATCTTTGTAGTTCCAGCCTACAGCACAGTGCTAGGCACAGGAGGTACAGCTCACAGGCTGCTGAGACATAGCCATGTGTGAGAACAGGGTGCGTGTACAGCACAGAAGAGGGACCTACCTAGTGCCTCCGGTGAGCAGGGTCTCAAAGGCGGCAGTTTCTCACACACTCAGGCCAGGGTGTGACAGCACATGCAAAGACCAGGAGGAGCCTGGCACTCTTATGGTTGACCCTCGGGTGCCAGTGGAATGGAGGGGAGACCCGAGTTGAGGTAGATGTAGGCATGTTGTGAAGGGCGCTAAGGAATGTGGGTGTTCTGTGTAGGTTGCAGGGAGTAAATGTGAAACAAGGTTTGTTGAATAAGGGAGATCTTTCCTCCCAGTCAGCCACGCTGGGTGACCCAGTAAACATGATGGTGAGACCCTGGGAAGGGTGGACGTTGGTCTCTGGCCAGAGCACCAGGGGGCAAATAAGGAATAGAGGTCTGCGAGCAGGTGTTCTGGGGACACGTAAGGATTTCCAAACCGACGTCAAAATGTCTGCGACCCCGATGGAGCTGTTTGGGGAGGGGGGGCAGTTGATAGAGATGGCCTTTGAAGCTGTCTCCTTAGCTTTAAACTGAGGTTCCTCAGTTTCCCTTAGTCAGAGATGCGCCCGAGTAGAGATGGATGGATGGATGTTGAGGGAAATGAACCAGGTAATTTGTCTCTACTGGTCTAGAGGGTAGTTACTCTTTGCCTGCATACAATGCCTTCTCTGATGGCTGTAGGAGGTGACTTATGTCACATAGAATTGTTTAGTGTAGATCTTGGGGAAAACAACACCAAAAACATTGTTGATTGTTGGGGACACTGCAGGGGTGTCCGTTCCCATTCTGTATGCCTCTCTCTCTCTCTCTCTCTTTTTAAATAGCTGAGTCCAGCAGGAAGGAGGCAATAAGACCCTCCCGAGAGGCCAAGCTGGGAGACCTGGGGCTGGATTCCTAACTTTTCTTTGTCTCAGTTTCCTGTCGTAAAATGGGACTATTGTCAGAATGAAGGAGATGATGGTTGTAAAGTGCCTAGCGCAGTGCCATAGTCCAGCCTAGGGTAAGAAGTCCATAAAGAGACCAGAAGGTGGGGGGGCATGAGAGGGAACGAGTGGGATCAAGTACTTAGGGGCCACATTACCACCAGAGCCTCAGATTGGCAGGTCATTACCCTGATCCTCCTAGGCAGGCCTCCAGAGCACTCACTGTGGATGAGCCGGGCGGTTCTGAGCCCTGCACGCTCTCTCGGTGATGCCTCAAGCAGTGCTGTGAGCTTTGTACTGCTGCTTGTCCTCATTCTACAGATAGGGAAACTGAGACATAGAAGGATTAAGTAACTTGCCCAGGGCCACACAGCTAGTAAGAAAGAGCTAGTGCCAGGGTACAAACATAGGCGTCTTATTCCAGAGTCTGAGCCGCCCCCCACTGTACCTGTCTGCCCTATACCGAGCCCACGGTAGCCCCCCATTTTGGACTGGCATGTGCTCTCCAGGTGGAGACCCTTTTATTTTCATCACTATCATGTGGTGCCCACCTGACCCAAGTGCGTGCACCTGCCAGTGCTGCTGGGGACGGTGCTGACACCTAGTGGGCCACTTGGGTAGTTGTGTGCAGATGTGCCTTCACCGGCTTCCTCCCTCGTGGGCTCTGCAGCACAGCCTCCGTTTTCCCTTCCTCCTCAGCAGGAATTCCCCCTCATACCTCTTCTTGATGTGCACGGACAAGGCCTCTGCCAGATCCTTCCCCCTCAAAGTTCTTTCCTGTCATCACCACTATTAACTCCTTTCTCCTCTCTTTGGTCCCTTCTGCTGCTTCATTTTACTTGTGGCTTGTGGAGACTTCTAGTGATTGTGGTTAAGTAGGCCCAGAGATGGTCCCAGAGCGGCAGTCTCCTTAACTCACACTGCAGTCGGAAAGGAAAGGACACTACACATTTAGCCAAAAATAATAAGTGCTCTTAAACTCTGAAAGTACTCAGAAATACCTTAGAATAGCCATAAAGCTCTTCATCTAATCTCTTTATAGCTTGCTGATTAAACTTGATTTCAGTATGTGATTTTTTTTTTTTTTTTGCAAGATAAATATTTCTTATATAGAGGTATATAGAGGTTTGGTTCATTCAGCAGCATTTTTAATTATGATTTTCATAGATCTCTGTCAGTCTCAGGGACCTGAGCCCCAACACACAAACCCACTTTCTATGGGAAATTCCCCTAAGAACTCAAAACTGCAGGTTTAAAATCAACTTTAAAAGGTAAACACACCAGTTCAGATTAGGGACTTCATTGTGAGCAGAAGTATCAGACAGCTGTTTTGTTTCTCTTGTTCTGCATTGTCCCTTCCACAGCGTTAAGCCCGCTGAGCTGTGAGTTGGACTTCTTTTCAGATTTGGTGAAAGAATCCATCCAAGACTCTAATACCTAGCTAAATATCAAGTAGGCTAGTACCAGAGACATTTGAGATACCAGTCCCATCACGGTAAAACCCAGAAAGCCTCATGGTTTTGCTGGTGGCGGTAAGGCAAGCCTACCCTGAAGGGAAACAAATTGGACCATAAGGACTGTCGGGCTCCCTCATCTCCTTCGGGCTGGTAGTTGGCTCATTTGCCCTGGCCAAGGTCAGTGTAATCACTGCTGGGGCCATTTTAGACCTGCGGTGTGGCCCTCAGGGTGAGCTGCCTCTCCATTTACCGTGACAGCTCTTTCCAGGTGGGTTACTTTGACTCAGGCATGCCTGTTAACAGTGGCAGTGCCTCATAGTGGCAGGAGTGCTGCAGAAGGGGCCACAGGAAGACTTCCACTTATCTGCAGACCCTATCTGGTTTTAGTGGCAGAAAGTCTGCCTGGGCCAGACGGGGCAGTCCTGGCTCTGAGGGGAAAGGAGGCCCATTTTTATGCTGCTGAACCGCTAGGGCTTCTGAAACAACCCAGCGTTGTGACCCCAGGTGGCCTAATGGCCAGAGTAGAATCAGAGGATGTGGGTTCTCTGAAGTGCCAGAAGCCCTGTGGAAGGCATCTGTGGGCTAGTGCATTGACCTAGAGGCATGTTAGGTTCAACACCGCTTTGTTCCTGCCCTTCCTTGCTTTAGGTTCCAGTAACACAGTTGTGCCGCCAGTATAGTGATGCGCCCCCTTTGACGTTAGAGGGAATCAAGGACCGTGTTCTTTATGTCTTGAAACTCTATGACAAGATCGACCCTGAAAAGGTAACTGACGTGGCTTAATGTTTTTCTTTAAATTAGCATTTAATCAATGGTACAGAATTCAGAGGGTTCAAAGGGATATTCAGTAAAAAGTCTCCCTGACTCCTAGCCACATGGTTCCCTTTCTAGGAGGCAGCCAGTGAAACCAGGTTCTTGTGTATCTTTCCAGAGATACTCAGTACATACACAAGGAAGTATACACATTTGTACATGTATGTATACTTTATGTACTATGTGATCCTTATCGCCTACCCTTTTTAAAACGCAAGTGGTAGAATACTGTAAACACTGTTCTGCGTGTTGCTTTTTAATTTATCCGCTAGTATTTTTCTCACAGTGGTACATAAATTCCCTCTTCAATAGCTGAATGTACTGTATAGGTAGGATAGAGGGGTTTTTATTATTGAGATCTGATTGGCAATAACATTATGTTAGTTTCAGGTATACAACATCATGATATTTATATAACATTTTTAATTGATCACAGTTAAGTCTGGTTAATATCTATAACCACACATAGTTACAGAAACTTTTTTCTTATGACATTTTTAAAAAATTTTTATACATTTATTTATTTTTGATAGAGAGAGAGACAGAGCACAAGTCGGGGAGGGGCAGAGAGAGAGGGAGACACAGAATCTGAAGCAGACTCCAGGCTCTGAGCTGTCAGCACAGAGCCCGACACAGGGCTCAAACTCACAAACCGTGAGATCATGACCTGAGCTGAAGTCAGGTAGCTTAACTGACAGAGCCACTCGGGCGCCCCTCTTATAATGATAGTTTTTAAGATCTGCTCTCCTAGCAACTTCCAGATATGCAATGCAGTGTTATTATAATCACCGTGTTGTACATTACATCTCCAGGATAGTTTTTCAGAGCAAAAATCAAAGATCTTAGTGAAATACATGAAGTGAAGTCCATTGCTAAGCCTTGTATATATTGTTAACCATTTCAAAACAAGGTTGAATAAGTTAAGATATAATGCTGTCACAGGTTAAACATAAACTGCTGGTTATCACTATTTAAAATATGGCCTCTTTAAGAAACCTCTTCTACCTAATGATTAATTGACCTTGTACCTCCCTGTTACTTTGAGAAACAAATGTCATCACGGACTGAATTTTGCATTTGGCATTCCTTTCTTGCAGCTCTCGGTAAATTCCCACTTTATGAAAGACCTGGGCTTAGACAGTTTGGACCAAGTGGAGATTATCATGGCCATGGAGGACGAATTCGGTAAAAGGCTAAGTCTGGGGTCTGCACAGTGTAATTAGGTGTATGAAATGCTGGGAGTCAGAATTGGGATTTGAATCAAATATAGAAATAGAAACAGCACCCCCGCCACATACACGCCTGCTTACTTAGCATCAGGTGAGCATCCGGTAAAGTCAATGCTAGGGATGGTGCCTTCAATTAGAACCCACTTGGTACAGGGCCAGTAGGGTGCCCGGTGTGGTGCCGAGGGCTGAGTGACCAGGAAAGGCCTGGGGGAGGATGGACTTAGATGCTTGAGGTGGGGGCTCCACCTCAAGCAGAACCTCACCTATGGAGACGCTGAACACACCTCAGCACCTCTTGTAGCTAGGCCAAAGTGACCGTGCCCAGAGAAGTAATTGGGTGTGCCCAGAACACACACACGTACAGGCCTGGTTTCCTGCGGAGCCTCCCATGCACACTCCCAGGTTACGTGGCTTTCTCAGACAGTTGTGCACAGGAGACCTCTTTAAGGCTCCACAGCAGTTTTTGGGTAAGTTGCCTGAATGAAAGCCAAGGGGCTTCTGTGCCATCCTACAGAACAGAACTTAGTTACAATTCTTCAGAGATTATGCTCACTAGTGCGATTGCATCAGTTAGGGGTAGGATGGGAACATGGTAATGGAAATGTTCTAGAATTAGATAATGGTGATGGTTGTACAACCTTGCGAATATATTAAAAAACCACTGAATTTTACACTTTAGGTGGTGGGTTTTCTATCATATGAATTGTATCTTTTAAAAAAAGAACCAGCTGTTACACACATTATGTAACTATTGTCTAGAACATAACTGGCCCATAACTTAAATGGGATTTGGGGTTGCTGGAGAATTTTGATGTACTTGTGGGTGGTAAGGAAGCATTAGATGCTTTTAATTTTTAAATGATTTTTTCTACACTCATGCATTATACATTTTCTTTGCAGGGTTTGAAATCCCTGATACAGATGCTGAGAAGTTAATGTGTCCACAAGAAATTGTAGATTACATTGCAGATAAGAAGGATGTTTATGAATAAAATATCAGGTAAATAATTTGACTTAACAGAATGTTGTTCTCCCATAGAATTAATCTTTCTGTAGTTCTTCAGTAAAGTAAGACTTGGGAAAAATGGAAAAATTGGAAACGCTTGACAGATTTTCACTGGTTATGAAATGCAGGTCCCTTCTGGTTATCTGCCACTCAAAGGGGGCCAGCCTTAGTGATCATCTTTATCCTTGAGACGGGCCGTGAACAATTCATTCTTGGACAGGACTTCCTTGATTGTCAGCCCTCCTCATAAAAGCAGTCATGTACAAAACACTGAGCAAGGTAACCCAGAAGCGGAGCCCTCTACTGCCCTCAGTTACCCACCCGAAGCCAGCCCAGCCTGATGTCCCAGAAGTTGAGATGGCCTGAAGCTTAATCAGGCAGGAGAGGCCTCCTGGGTAAGAGGATGGACTCTGGAGTCAGACACTGGACTTGATTCTCAGCTCTGTCCGGGTCTGTAAGTCTGGTGACCTTGGGCAGGCTGTCTAGCCTCTAAACCTGCTTCCTCATATGTAAAATGGGGATAATGACAGGACCTACCTGGGAATTTTGTGGTGGAGAAAGTTGGTAGTGTATGCAGATCACTTACAACCATGCTTGATGGTAAAGAAGCCTGTCGGTAGACATTAGCTATTGTTATTTAGACTCTAATCAAGTGATTGACTTTTTAAATAAAACATTGTATCAAGTATCTATAACTTTAGTTACCCTGGATTGAGCACCTCCAAGTCCCTAAAAGTCAGTGCACCAAAGAGAAACACTGAATTTACTTTGTTTTTGCCAGACCCCTTTTTTTCACTGAGAGAAGACTCAGAAGATGCTGGCAAGTGTCTGGAAGTGAGAACGCGTTTTGGCATTATTGCTGCCTTTGACAGAGCGATTCTGTTTAGACTTGTATTTAAATTGTCTGTTTTGCCCTTTGAAAATAAATCTATAAAACCAACATTTTTCTCAGTCTTCAGTTTTTCAGTGTCTGTGAAGTACTTGTGTATATTGAATTTGCTTAATATTTTTAAAGGTTTGGCTAGTCCTTGGGATTCATGAGTTAAAAAAAAAACTTCTAGCAGTGTACTTGAAATAAGTTTCTCTCCCATTACTTCTAATGTAAGGAATGAGTGTTAGTGATAAAAGGATTTTTTGCCTTAGAAAAAAATTTGGGGGGGCTCCATTAGTTTGATCATCAGATGTATCAGCTGACACCAGCATGTGCAACGAATTTTTTTCTCCCTGTCCTGTGGATCTCTTTCCAAATGGATAGAATTTAATACTTTGGGAGGACAGAAAGTTCTCTTTGCTACTGGAAGGTCAGATTGACATGTCAGTCAGTCTGTAAGTCACACATCAGAAAGTACCAGTGCTTCTCTTTCTATTCTTACGGGCACCGTGTGAGGTCCTCGGGGTTGAGGCCGGCAGCCGCCTCGCTCTTGATGAGGTTCCGTGTGAGACCTGCCAAAATAATTACTCCACTTTTACCAAAACGTCTTGTTCGTAGGCAGGGGAAGCGAGGGCTTGTGGCAAATAGGAGGTTGTCCCAGAAGCGCAGGGGCTGAGTGACCCTCAGCTGGGAGAGGATCTTATGGCCGAGAGAGGAGGTGGCTTGAGTCCCTTCTGGGCCTGGGTTCCTTCCTGGGGGCACCCGGTGCCACCAGTGCCTTCTGTGCTGCCGCTCTCATACATTTGGCAGACGGCAGACCTACCTGCTTTTCCAGTAACAGGAGGCTGGTGTTCATCGTTACGTTGCGCCGTATATGTATGTTTTAATACTACGAGTTCTTGGGAAAATGCTGGATTGGAGCACAAAGAGCATCCTCTCTTAACAGCAGCATTTAATCAGGGAATGGCCTGCTTGCTTACTGGGCGCTGGAGAGCCAACAGGGAAGAAAATAGGCTGCAGGCAGCTGCTTTGACTGGGATGAACCACAGTTTAACATCTGGGGTAAACTGTTCTGGTTATTTCAACCCGTTGGCAGCTGCACATTCCGCCAAAAAACCCATCAGTGGTGGTTTCTGCCTGAGGTCACAAAGTCTGTGCACGTCAGTGCTGGCAGCGAATGCTTTGCTACCGTCTTAACCACACGCTGCCAGTGCAATGCCCATTCACGTCCTTGGGAAGTTTCCAAAGAGCCAGAATAAGGGAAAAAATTCACGGAGTCACGCACAGGTAATTCCTTGGTAATGCTATTTTAGGATCTGGGTGTTAACAGCAAAGATATTTCTGCTCTAAGAACTTGTTGGAAAATTCTTTGACAGACTCGTGTGCCACCACAGGCAGACGAAATGTAGTATTCCAAAGTGTGTGAATTAAAACAGAATCAATGTGATTGCGTGCATTTGGTTTTAATGGCCTCCTACAAATGTCTTTGAGGATCTGTGCATCTGCTGCGGGCAGTTCCCTTGATGAGAGGGTGGCGTGGAGCCGGTCTTGACATGCTTCCTGTCCCATGTCCAGTTCTGCCACATTGCTCTTCACTCTTCCGTGTCCTCCAAACAGCCAAGTGCACTCACTCACCCAGTGAAGCAATGACATCCCTGCCATGGATGGGGCACGCTTCGCCAGGTGGGGCCTGAGCACGCATCTCCGTCCTCAGCTCCCCATCTCATAGAAGAGATGGTCAGAATCCGTGTGATACGTTCTATTCAGAATCAGCAGTGTCCCAACAAGCACCACTGCTCCCAATCTGATGAACCGAGAGAGACGTCACCTTCGGGTTTTGCTGGAATCATTAACCTGAACCTAATCACCAGGAAATCAATCGAGAAGGCGGGACTTTAAAAAAAATCAGTGCCCTGGGGAAAAAGGGCAACTATCCTAAATTAAAAGAGACCAGAGATATGTCAACCTCATGGACTGTGAAGCTTGAAAGGATTGGGGAAAAAGATCAAGATGTTCAGTGGACAACTGGACTGGGTATAGGTGACAAAACAATGTTCAATTTGCTGGGTCTAATAACAGCCTTACATAGAGTGAACTTACTCTTAGGGGACAGAGACTTACACTTGGGAGTAAAGCATCAAGATGTCCCCAGCTAACTTTTAGATGATCAGCACAAGAGAAGAAAAAAGAATAACGACACAGCACGTTTACAACTGGTGGCCAGTTGACAGGCGTGTGCATGCACACGTGTGTTCACTGTACTGTTCTTCCCGCTGTTCAGTTTGAAATTTGCCAAACTGAAAAAGGAAAAAATTTGCGTACATGTAACGAAGGGTACACTGACAGCATACGGATAGATGTCCAACCATACAAGATTGGTTAAATAGAAATAAATTTACACAATGACGTGGAAAGATCGATGTTTAGCATGATCCAGTTTCTATAAAACACCTACCAAAATGTTAATAATGATCACCATGATGTAGTAGGAATACATTGGCTTAATTCTGCCGATCAGTATTTCTTTAATTATAAATACCATGTATTGTGTAATAAATGAAAAATATAAAAGTGACACTTAAAAGTATGTGGAAACTGGGAGGAGTGGAACAGAAGCAGGGGCACCGATACTTGGGAAAAGCACTGGTGGGCAAGGAAGCCCGAGCAGTTTCTAAGGTTCTGCAGGAGCCGGCCAGGCGGGCAGGCAGGCCGACGAGCATCGCGTACCAAGGCAGGAGGTGGGAAGTCAGTTTGCTCAGTCTGGGACATCGCTACAGCATGGGCTCCTGGGTGGGGCCGCCTGTGGCTCTTGACTCTGGCTGGGATTGTGTCCCAAAGGAGGGCCTTAGCCTGGTTAAGGAACTCGTTGGCAGAGGGTGCTGACAGGATCTTCTGCAGGGGAGACTCAGTCAGATACACTTGGCCTCAGACGCTGGCAGCTATGCAGAGGGTACGCTGAGGGGATGGACGTGGTAGTTACTGGAAGAGCCCATGAGAAAAATGCAGATTTGGGGGTTGGGATAAAGAGGGACAGACTGGAAAGATACCGTGGGAATAAAAATGGCCACACTTGGTCAGACGAAGAAGGCAGCGAGCCTACGGTCTGTCTCAAGTGTCTGGCTTGAGTGCTGCTTGAGCTGCTGCCTCAAATAGGGAATGGAGGAGGATTAGATTGGAGGACAGAATTTCGGTTGAGGTTGAGGACCGTGTTGGATTTGTTTGTGGGTTAGCCCAAGCAAATGACTGATAACCAGCAAGAGCTCAAGAAAAACTCCGGACTGGAGTCACGGGGCTGGAGGGTGAGTTTGTGAAGTGCTTCCCCCCTGCCCCCCACCCCCACACCGTGCTGGTTCCCTCCAGCTGTGAAGTCCCCCATGGAGTTAAGCCCCCAGCCTTAACTCCTGACCTTCAGTTCCCAGGATGGATCCTTCCATGTGTAAGCCTAAAGTGAAGGATGGATCAGAGCTGAGAACTGAGTGAGAAATTACCTACCAGTTGAAATTTTATCAAGTACCGGATTACTTACTGTTTTGATTTTTAACATGGTAGCCAATTAAAAAACAAATGTCAGGGTTCAAAGTTTAAAAATACAATTTACAAACTCAAGTTAGTGCCCTTAAGACATCTAGCTAAACCAGGGAAAGAAGAAAATCTGTGAAAGAAAACAAAGTAGCCAAGGACTTGCCTAGGTTCTCAACAATAAGGTGTGTATCTAGAACTCAGACTTGGGCATCAGGCAAAACTGGGTTCTGGATGGTAGCCTCCACACACCCTTGGCTCAGCCACTTCGCTTGTCTGCACCTGTTTACTGGGTTAAGTGGGGGAGACGAGGGATGTGGTGAAGTGTTGACAATATAACTTAACGCACATACATAATCTGACCCAGTGCCTGGCATGTGGTAAGACTCGAAGAAGTCGAAGTCACAGGACCGGAAGGCAGTGTTTGGAGCAAGTCTGTTTCCAAGTAGCACTGGCCTGGCATATAGCAAGAGGTCAGCCTTGCTTGATGGTCTGCCAAAGCTGCTGTCTTCTACAGGTTGGAGTATTTGAAAGCCCCAGACTCACAATGAATGGAAGTCAACTACTAGTACGTGCCCAGATTACCATGCTGAGGTTACCATGTTCATGTGTTTGTGGAGGGCAAGGGCAACGAGCCCCCAATAAGAGCACTATCTGGCAAAGCAGAGTTGGGGGTTAGTGGGTCAGATGCCCGACAGCCTGACTTGAGTGCCTGTTATCGGGCTATAGGTGTGAGACCCTTGGTTTTCCACTTACAGGAGCTGAATCAGTGCCTACGTCATGCGAATCAGGTTTGTCACCAAAAACCAAGAGTTCTGATGCCTGGACCCCTGGAGTATTTAAGACTTAGACTCAGATGGAGAAGGGAGCTGGAATGGTGGCTGAGAGGACTCTGTTCTGTGACGTGCCAGTTCCCTGAGCACACCTCCTCCAGAACCCCAGCTGTGGCCAACTGTGACAAACCCATGACATAAAGTAGTGCAAGGCTCAGGACAAGAAAGGAAGAGATCTGGGGTCACAGTGAAAATTAAGATGAAAGAAATATATGGGGGAAATTAAGATGGGAGAGAAAAACCAAGATTAGCAACAGCAGAAAGGCTAAGTGGGTACCGAAAAAACACAAGACCGGGGTAAAGATTCAAGAACGTAAGGATTAGGAGTTGGAAAAATAAGCTCTAGAAGATATTTCAGTCTGTAAAACAGATATTGTTGAATTGATATGAATTTTCTTGGATGAGACAATGGTGTTGTGCTGAGGTACAGCAGTGTCATTCTTAGGAGGTGAGTGCTCAGTGTCACTATTTCTGTATGTCTGTCCAATGTTCCAGCAAAATAAAGTACATGTGTGTCTGGAGAAAAAAGCAAACACATGTTGTTGATATTTTAACAACTGGTGAACCTTGGTGAAAGTATGAGGTGATCACTGTAGCAGATTGCAGCTTTCTGTAGGTTTGAAATTTTCCAAGACAAAAAAGGGGAAAACAGCAAGGGATTAACGTTAGATAAAGGGGAGAGGAATAAAACAGAAGCAAGAAACTCGAGAATTAGGA